TCGGCTGGAAACTACAAGTCTACATGCTACAGTCGAAAGGAAAGCTAGGCTAAAAAATAAATCAGCACATGTGGGGGGACAGTGGCCGGCTGCTGCCAGGAATGTGCTCTTACTCCTGAGGCTCGGGCTCAGGGGTTGGGGGTTCCGGGATGTCTCCCATGGCTATGGCCGCCGCTCGGCGCCTGTCCCGCCTTATTTTCCCCAGGGCCTCGATCAGTAGATCCTCATCCGTGTGGTCGGCCGGGTTGACATCAGGGCCCAGAAGCTTCTCGAAGATGGGGAGAATGGCCTTGACCTCTTCGTTGTAGCCACCGGCGAAGGCGCTATCGGCGGAATCATAAAGGAATTGACGCGATAAGGGGGAGCTTCCCATTAGCCGCACGCCGTATTTCAGACGGTCCTTCGCCGGAATCTTCCCCAGGGCATGGGAGAACACGTCACCAAAGGCCCCGGCGCAGAAATCCTTGGCAGAATCCATGAACTCGCCAGTATTCCGGTAACCGGAGGTATCGACGCACCACTCCGGAGTAGCACCTTCGGGGGTCGGAAGTACCGGCATAAGCTTGAAGCCGGCCTTCTCCAGACAGGCCAGTTGGGCGTCAGTTTCAGCCCGGAGGGACTGAAGCTCCTTCTTGGCTGAGGCAGCCTCTTCTTCGGCCCGACGGGCGGCCTCCCGAGCCTTCAGTAAGGCGGCATCAGCCTTGCTCCTTGCCTCCTGCAGGGCGGCCTCCCTGGTAGCCTCGGCTTGCAGAACCAACAGCCCTGATTGTAAAAGATGGACGAACAAAGGTTAGACGACGAAACGACGAGCGTCAGGGAGACAAGGTTAGTCGAATCGCGAAAATACCTGGATGGCCGCTGCCAGAGCAGCGCTGGTCGCTTCAGAAGACGACCGGGGGGGGCAGTTCGAGGCCTGCCTTGGCCCCGAGTTCCCTCCAAAGCTCCTCCGCCGGACGGCTCAGAGATAGACCGATGGTATCTTCAACAATGGGACCGGAGGAAGGACAGTCTGGCCCCCTCTTCGGCTTCTTCTCTAGGGCCCTCTCACCCCTTTTCTTGGAAACCACTTTCGTCGTGACAACCGGCGGGGGGGGGGGGGGGGATTCAGCTTGATGAGGTATGGCCCCCTCATTCAGAAGGGTAGCAATCAGATGCTGCTCACCATCTGCCGTCCGCCGGGCGGCGTCAGAGGCCGATGATCCGGCGCCTTGGGCGGCGGCCTCTCTGGCCGCTTTGGCCGCAGCCATCTTCGCTTTCTTGTTCCTCAGGCACTCGGCGTTGTCCATTTGGTCGACGGTTAGAGGAGGACCTGCGAGAGAAAAATACAAGAATATAAGGAGACAAACAGAGATAGAGAGGGACACTCACCTCAGAGGACAGGACCGCCCGCGCCCCGAGACGAGCGTCCAAGGGAGGGAGAAATCCAGAGACACGGGCGGTAGCTATGCCTGCTTCAGAGAGTGCCTCGGGGGTCAGGTATTCCCCTATAGGGCGAACGCCGCCTTCCAAGACTTTGTTCACTTCCGCCTCCAGCTCGGCCGTCAGCACCGGCGACTCAATCTTCGGGGGGTAACCGTTCCAGTGGATTGGGAGGGGAGGACCATCATATCTAAGGAAGAAGAGCCTACTTTTCCAATCATGGATGGAGGAAGGATAGTGCTCGAACAGCTTCCTCTTCGGACGAGCGGCCACACTCAGGTAACCGTCGGAATTCTGCGGGGTGACCCGGTAAAAGTAGTGAAACAGATCCAGAGATATATCGGCTCCCGCGGACGAACAACGCACGAGGAATGCGGAGATAAATCTGTAAGAATTGGGCATGAACTGCGCCGGGACCACCTGGAAGCAGTTGAAAAACTCCACATAAAAAGGATGGAGGGGAAACCGCAGACCGGCCTCTACGGAATCCACATGCAGGATGATCATCCCCGGCCGTCTCCGCATAGCATGTTCAGCCCCGCTATGGCTAAAGACGAACGGGTGGGGGAAGAAGGAAGCAATCTTGTTCATGGCGACGCTAGAGAGGGATTGCCTGTGCTCTAAAACACTCTTGATCTTGCAGATGTGCCTCTGCACGTCCATGGGGATACCCAAATCGTGCACCTCCAGGTCAGAACCAGATTGGGCCTCGTCCGCGGAATCATACCCGGCCGCACGTTCATTCAGAGGCACGGCCTCAATGGCACCTTCGGGAATGTCCGCGCCTTGCTCACTATCGGCATGGATAGTCCCTGCGGTGGACGCTGAACCAGGGTGGCCGGAAACGCTGGTTTCCCCGGAAGAGCGGGAGCCAGAATCGGAGGAAGAATCTGAACCGGAGCCCGAAGAACCAGAACTCGAACTCGAGGAGATTTCCATTGAGGTCATCGCTAGAAAGAAGGGCGGGAATGAAGGAAAAAAAAATTACCTTGGAGAAAACGTGAGGATGACTTTGGCAAGCTGCGATGAAAACCCGAGGAGCGGCAGGAGAACTCGAGAGCAAGAGCCAGAAAACGAAAACCCTAGACAAAGGGGAATTCCTGGTATTTATAGCGGAGGCACCCCCGGGGGGACGAATAGGGAAGCGACACGTGGCGGGGAGCGTACCATGGCGGGAATCCAACCTGGGGAAGCAGTACGCGTAATGATGACTTCTCATCGAGAGTCGCACCGTTTCGCCGCCAGCCGCCACCTCGATTTACCCGCAGTTGCCCAACTCGGGGTAGCCCTTGATCAGGTACGTCCTTTGCCCAAGGGATGTTCAGCAGGCGAATACGGAAGACGGGGCGTCCCCCAGGGGGCTCAACATACTTCCTTATGTCCCACGCACGCTTGGAACATCAGAAGTGGGGGACTTGTGTTGGGTAAATGGCCCAAACGGGGGTTCGGCCCAATCACCCCCAAACCGATGTACGTCGCATAGCCCACGGGTGACCTTAGCCCAGAGGAGATAGGACGGACGTCGGTTTCCCGGATAGCCGCACAAGGTCCCTGCCGAGGGTCAATTAGCATATTCCCGACGAACGTCGTCAGCACAAGGTATTTGTAAATGGCCCAAATCCAGAAGATCATTTCACTCTATCAAGGGCCGCAGACGAGCGGCCCCCAGCCTTCCACCGCCTGCTGAGAGTTGCCCTCAGTTCTACCAGACGATCATGGTCAGGGATTAGGCGGGGAACCCAGATTCTGGCGGGAAGCGCATTTAATGCTGGAGATTTGGTGGTTGGACCACAGCCACTAACAATCCTCCACGTCATCAGGACTACCTGCCCATTGGTGGGTATAAATAGAAGCATTTATTTCATTGTAAAGGGTTGACAACTTTCTATTCTTAGCATTCTAGCTATAGCATTCTTACCGGTAGCATCTACACTACCCCGTAAGACGAACGGCCGACGTGCCTTTTTAGCAAGTAGATTGTACTTAGGGGAGTTATTACGAAGTTAATAATACCTATTTACATTGCCTGCTATTTGCTCTGTTTCCTGATCCATCTGGTAGTTGTTGGGCTAGATATTCACTTACTCATACACCCACTCCACTCGAAATCTTTGGGCTTACGTGTTGGGCCTGAGGGTTGAAGGAATAAACCTCAACACATACATACATATAATATCCTATGATGTCTACCCATTCATTGCATTGAAACATTTTCCTTTTTCAAGATACTTAGTAATAAATTCATAATATTTCTCATATACACTAGTGTATCTCGAAATATAAATGTAGTCAATAAGTCATTAATTTAAAATGAGAAATAAGTCAAACAACTACAATCTTGAAATTAAAAGTGCAAGTACCCAATTCGGAGTATGAGTTAATGACTTAATTCGGATATAGCCATATAGGCTCATTATTTGATTACCAAGTAAAATGTAGTTTTAGATTTTCATTTTTTTAGAATTTTATTAAGTAAATTTTGGGATTTTTTTTTATAAAAAAAAGTTGATACGGGTATCCGTGAGGATACGAGTATCGGAAACTTTCAAAAAATTACAAAAAAAAAAGGAAACTTTTAAAAATTGCAGATACGGCCCGGGAACGTACGGTACGGGTATCCTAGAGTATCGGATACGGGAACGTATCGGATACGCCGACACGCTACCATAGGGAAGTATCCGTGCTTCATAGGTTGGATCTATGGGAATAGGTTTGGCTGTGTCAAGCCCACTACATGGTTAGCAATTCGTGTTGCTCTCTCAGGGGTGACTGTCTCAAAGTCTCACCATATGGTTATAGTCGTAGTTGTTTAAGTTTCACTTGGTGTCAGTTTTATTTTGCTTTTGTTTGATGTAATGATCCTGAATCTTTTGATATGAATAAAGGCCCGTTTGATGATAAAAAAAAATAAAAATATGTGTAATATTTATTTATTATCCTTTCTATACAAATCAAGCACAAATACATGTATTACTCTCGAAGCTCGGTGTACAATAAGATGATGTATTTTTGTGTTAAGTGTTAGGATGATTTAATTTTCATTGAAATTTTCTAGTATGATTTGATTTTCCGCGAATTGATCTAGTTTAATAAATGTCTGATCTCTATATATTTTATAATTATTGAAGTTTAATATAATCTGAAGTAAAAAAATCCATAAATCATACTCCCTCTGTTCTTTTTTATCATTCCCCTTAAGATTTGGCACGTGATTTAATAATAAAGTAGTAGGGTAAGTATAGAGTGTGTATGGTAAATGATAAAGTAGGAAAGATGATATATTAAAAAGAGTAAAATGATGATAAAGTAGGAAATAGAGTGTATTAAGAAGAGTAAAATGATGGTAAAGTAGGAAAGAAAAAGTAGTTTGTAAAAAGTAAGTGGGGTAAAAGTAATAAAAGTATGAGTATTTTCTCAATAACTAATAAAAAAGAAGGGAGGAGTATCGAGATATATTGAGCTTGAGGTTATTAAGAAGAGTAAAATGATGGTAAAGTAGGAAAGAAAAAGTAGTTTGTAAAAAGTAAGTGGGGTAAAAGTAATAAAAGTATGAGTATTTTCTCAATAACTAATAAAAAAGAAGGGAGGAGTATCGAGATATATTGAGCTTGAGGTTAATTGAAAATTGGAGATTCCCAACTCATTTTGTACTGAATAGCCTGTGCCAAAACAAAACCTCTCGCCCGCATGAGTCAATCGACCGCGAGCCTCCACTGGCTACTGCGCGCTGCCCTGCCGTCTGCCGCACCTGCACACTGGAAAATTTTGTATTGAATAGCCTGATTTCTTTCTTTGCGGCTTACTACTCAGGTAAACTTAAATTAGAAATTAAATTCCATATTTCGTTAAAGATAGAAAAATTTCCAGTTTCAATGAGTGAGTTTTTATGATACGTGTCTAAAAAATCAGATTCAATTACTAATGTACCAATTTTTGTTCGATTAGTAAATTTTAGTTTTCTGAAATTTCAATTAGTGAAATTTAGGAATTTGAAATTTGTTCTTCCAGCCAATTACATGAAGTTTATTTTCCGGTTTTTGATGCTTCAAATTCATATTCCGTAGCAATTAGCCAATCCAAATGGATCTGCGTAGTTGTTCTACCTCAATCTTAGTGACCACGAGTACACTGTCTATCATGTGCTAGGCGTTTTGATAACATTGCATATTTAGAAAGTTTGCTATCATAAATCAATTTTCTTGATATGTAATTTTCTGTAATTTGATTGCGATTTGTGTTGAACGTTTTTGGGCAATTTATAATATGATCGTGATTTGTGTCTATGAATATTAATCCCATTGTTTAGTATTAATCATTTAATCCAATTAGGATTAATATCATTGTCAGTATTAATCTCATTACTTAGATGTTTAGTATAAGTCATTAGTATTAATATGATTGTGATATGTGACTATTAATCTCATTGTTTAGTATTTATCCTCCTGTTCCTAATATACTCGTGAGGACCTTTTTGCTACCCAGTATTTTCTAACTTATCATATGATGTGGTGGATTGTTGGAGTAAAAAAAGCTAATGAAGCTAGGTTTGAACAGATACTATAAATCTGTTGAACTAGAAGCTAATGAAGATATTTCACCAAGAATTTTAATGGCCTCTAGTAGATCTAGTTGTATAAACTTCAAATAGATCTTCTTGACAATTGACATTGATGTCATTATCAGGCAATATCGTTCTATAAAACCTGTAAAGAACAATTGATTTCTCAACCCCCACCGTAGGGGGTTGATGATGATCATTTGTAATATTTATTTTTGTATTTTACTTTTTATGCAATTAATGTTATATTATATATATAAAAACTTTGGCCCGACCTGGATTGAAATGCTAGGTCCGCCTCTAATTGCAATAGTCTCTGCTGAAAGTCAACGATAATGGAGGAAGTAGAGGATGAGCATCAGCTGCAGCAGATCTCGTCAAATGGTAAATAGATGTTTTTATACACAACAAGTTTAATGTTAAATTCGAAGAGATTTCAGGTTTTTGCAGTGTATGAGTGTTCCATACATGGCATATCAGTGGTTGAAGCGCAATCATACAAACTCAGAATTCTGCAGTCACGTAATTAATAAGAGGGACTGCCGCTGTGCTATGATTTGTTTTGTAATGAAATGTAAAAATTAATGTTCTTGGTCCACAATGTGTCTGATGGATTGTTCTGGACCATAAGAGTAGTTAAATGGGAATGAATCCTCGTCTCCTCATTAGGGAACAAGAGAGGCAGTTATCTTAGGAATAGTGATGCTGCAGGTCATCAAATTTGTACTGTGCACTAGGACACACCGGTGTGCAATTGCTTACATTGATAGTGGTACATCATGTGCTCGTTTGGTACCACTTTCTTCACTTTATCAGCCTAATCAGTCAGGTGTTATAGAGAACACTAAAGATAATCGACTCTAGACGTTAGACGCCACTTAAAAGTTTCGTATATCTATAAGACGAGAAAGAAGGCAACCTAAATACTTATATCTATAAATAATCATGCAAAAATCTGATAATAATCAAACAAGACTATTAAAATCTATTATGATTTATGATTTTTCATTCATACACTATAGTAAGTACATCCATTATCCATATATACATAATGAAAAGAGAAAAATCTCATCTTTTATTAATTGTTGTACAAATAATAGATAATGGCTTTGGATAGAGCAAAGTGGAGGGCAGATATTCGTGTGGCGGAGTGATCTTTTATCATCTTTTCCCCCTAATCTTCTTTTTCTTTCTTGAGTTTTTGTTTTTATATCCTTCTCAATATATATATATATATATATATATATATATATATATATATATATATATATATATATATATATATAAGAGATCAAATACAAACCATGCTTAAAATACTAACCTACAAACTCAATAATATGCAACACTTTGAACTTCAATATGCAATACAAATAATGTAAAGATGCACACCGTGAACTTCAATATGCAATGCAAATAATATGCAACACTGTGAACTTCAATATGCAATATAAATAATATGCAACATTTTGAACATCAATATGCAATACAAATAATGTAAAGATGCACAATTTGGGACAGTTTGCAGGTTAACATGAGAGGACTAGTTTGTATGTGATCTCACCCCTATATATATTTCTTTTTGTTCTATCATTTTTATGTATATCTTATCTTTTTATCTTTCTTTTCCTTTTGGTCATAATTTCATGTTAATAATTTGTTGTATGAAGTGCATAGGTCATGTAATGGTGGGTGGTTCGGGTTGTTCAACTTGTGAGTGTTTCTCTACCATTCAAGGGGCATCAAGCATGCACCATTTTGTTTCATATTGTTGAAATAGCACTAGTATCACCCTGACCCCCCGTTTTAAAGGTACCTTTTGAAAACATTATATAATATGTTCAAATGGTCAATGCATTGCAGATGAAAATGGTGTGAATGAGATTATCACCAAAGGAACTTCAGCTGTTCATGGAGAGCCTCCTCAAGATGATGGTCCTCCAAAAGTTGATTCAGAATTGGAAGTCCTTCATGAGAAAGTAACAAAGCAAATCATCAAGGAAGGCCATGGCCAAAAGCCATCAAAATATGCAACTTGCTTTTGTAAGTTCAAGATGAGGCATTTAGTTGGATATACTGCACTTAGTAGTGCTGTATTATCATTAGAGTCAAGTGTATGGTCATTTTTCATCATTTTCATTTACCCCAGTGCCACAAAGGCTCCCACCTACGGTGGGGTAAGGGGGGTCGGATGTACGCAGTCTTACCCCTGTACTAAAGCACAGAGAGACTGTTTCCGGATGACCCATAGTGAAAATCGTGTCCAAAATTGCATGGACTGACTACTGCTTCATAACAAAGAAGCGCAGACAGTTTAGTGAGCCATTTTGCTTTATTCCATCATATTCTCAAGCCAAAAAATAATGAATCTTTGGCTCCATTGCAAATGATGGAAAAAGTGTACGGTAAACTAAGAAAAGTTTTTCACTTGAAATGGCTAGATAGTTTGATCATAATAAATGCTATGCCCAAATTACATGAACAGTTTCTCTAGACATCCTTAAAACTGTATAAAGAAATTTATGTCTCCGTTTTTTATTGATGTTTCCTTCCATGTGTTCAAACATTTACTGGCACTAGTCAATCACATTCTACTTCAAATTTAAACTGAATTCAAATCAGTAGCACTCTTTTAATTTTCTCATACTATTTCCAAATTCAACACAACTAAACTTTGTATAAGGTTCTCTTGACCTGCCATTTCAAATACATCAGTTTCACATTGATTGTATTGGTAGTGCATTATAGGGCATGGACAAAAAGCACCCTGCACAAGTTTGAAGATACATGGCATGAACAACAGCCCCTTGAGTTGGTAATAGGAAAAGGTGGTGCTCACTTTACTACTAAAATCTTTTGACCATGAATTATTTTTCTCTTGTCTCCGCTTTCAGTGTTACATTATCAAGTTTCCTTTAATACACAACCATTATATATTTTACCTGTCACTGCATTGTAAAAGTGAATCTTTTGATGATAATTTAACTCGTGAATCGTAAGTTGATTCATATCATACTTTCCAGAAGCACATCAATAGAAAGCCCAGATAACAAAATTCATATCTAGAACATGAAGAAAGTATCAAAATTTTGCAAACTAGGTGCTTACGTTGTAATCCCTGTCCCACATTCTTTGTCTCATTTTTTTTGTCCCACAAAGTATATCTCATTCTATTTTTGGTAACATTTGGGTGATTCAAATTAATATTTTACAAATTCAATATCAACCACATCATTCCACTGTCTTTAATATACATGTGACATTCTCGAGTATCAAAGATAGTGGGGCGGAGATAGTCGTATACTCGTATATCATCAAGGAAGTAACACTAGGGCACTAAATTGACTGAAGAAGCCAGTGGGTTCTTGTGATCAAAGGCTGCAATCAGATATCATGCATTAGCTATTTAGCCCCTTCCTTTCTTAAAAAGAAATTTCAAACTCTGGCCCTTTAACCTCTTATGATTCCTGAGAACTTGAAAAACAAAAGGCCAAAAAAGATACTGGTATGTTAGATTTATATTTCTTTAGTCAGCAATATGTATTCTTGAGAGTGAGATGGAACTGGATCCATTCGTGTGATACACAGCCAATTATTCTCCAATTCCAATATAGATCTGTATATGCATGCCGGAATTTCGAATCACAACGCATCTCACCATGCGATGCTGACATCTGTGGGCCACTTTTTACAGACATATGTCAGATAAATGCTGTTCACAACTTCGGTAGTGATTTTTTGACACCAACTCCCTGGGATGAGTACCTTGTGAGCGTGTGAACGTGTCAAATGCCCCTTCTTGTCTCATTTATTAGCACCTTGATCCCAATTATGTAGGGGTGCCTGCTGTAGAATTTAGTGTTCCAGAGACGACTTATGTTGCAAACTTTTTACCTCTGTAATAAGTGATTGTTTCCACTGCTACTAAGTTTTATTGAAATAATTTCTTCATTGAGGTTTTAGTTATGTTGATAACTTGAATTGTGTTGTAAAATTGAATAGAGAAAAAGGAACTGACTGGGCTGGCTATTGGCATTTCGGGCATGCGATCTGGTGAACGTGCATTGCTAAATGTTGGATGGGAACTAGCATATGGAAAAGAGGGAAGCTTCTCTTTTCCAAATGTTCCACCTGAGGCCAACGTTATGTATGAAGTTGAATTAATTGGTTTTGATGAAACCAAAGAAGTGAGCAAATTCAAAGTTTGATGCATAAAACGGTATATTCCATACATCAACAGTATTGATCAGTTTCTTGAAACTTGTGTAGGGAAAATCACGGGGTGACATGACAGTAGAAGAGCGAATAGGTGCTGCTGATAGGAGAAAGATGGATGGAAATGCTTTATTCAAGGAAGAAAAACTTGAGGAGGCAATGCAGCAGTATGAAATGGTGAATGAACTGCAATAATCTTCAGTTTTTTTTACTATACATAATTGATGTTATAATTGTAAAATTACTATTCATTGGTTGAGCTAGGCCATAGCATACATGGGAGATGACTTCATGTTTCAATTGTTTGGTAAATATCGGGACATGGCTTTAGCGGTAAAGAATCCTTGCCACCTTAACATTGCACAGTGCTTGTTAAAGCTCAACCGGTATGATGAAGCGATAGGGCAATGTACCATTGTGAGTATACAATTTTGAAGTTTTTAAGTACATTGTCCTCTTTCTCTTTTAGACCATTTGTCCAGATATGAATTCTTTCAATTCACTTCATGAGTTGGTTTAAATGCTAAAAAGGTGGAAGTTTACTGTTATGTGTTGTTCATCCTCTCGCTTTTCTGGGCAAGCGTAAGTATTGGCCATGCCTTAATACTCCCTAAGTTCACTTTTAGTTGCTCATGTACTGTTCTCATGGAATCTAAGAGTAATACTGTTGGGGAAGGTAATGGCCAGAAAAAGCGAGACAAAAGGTGAAAAAGTAGAAAAGTTGAATAAGAGGAGATGAAACAGTAAAGATATGTTTATGTGTTTAAAAGGAAATTGGAGAAATTAAAGATGAACAAATAAAGTGTGATTAAACACCCACCCACCCAAACGAACAAACTTCAGTATTGCTTAGATGCTTTATGTTCAATAACAAAGGAAAACTATGTTGACTTTGGCTGTTAATGATTAGGTGTTGACTGAAGATGAAAATAATGTAAAAGCATTGTTCAGGAGAGGAAAGGCTAGAGCAGCACTTGGACAGACAGATGCAGCACGAGAAGACTTCCTTAAGGCACGTAAGTTCGCCCCTGAAGACACAGCTATTGTACGGCAATTGGACCAGCTTGCTAAACATGACAGGGAAGTCTACCAAAAACAGAAGGAACTTTACAAAGGATTATTTGGGAAAACCCCTCAGCCCAAGCCCGAGAAGAAGATGAAGACTATACTATTTGTGGTTTGGCATTGGCTGCTTTCTCTGTTTTATCGAGTATTCAGGCGCAAAGGTGATAAAACCAACTAAAATTTCAAGATTTCTCACCAAAAGAATTTAGTGCATGTGTGCATTTATTTTGTAAAACCTGAATCTCCGTCCTGTACTTTCTCCGAGATTCATCTTGTATCTGCCCATGACATTGAAGAACAATACATTTTAGACGCCTGCCTCCAAATATTCCCTGTTGAACTTCATATAATTTTCTTTCTTATAGTAACTTTTCTCATGTGCCTGTATTAACTAATTTTGAGAGCTGTAGTTTTTCTGTCTTTGTGTTTGGATGAGTGCTTGTGTTTGCTTCTACTTTTGAGAAATGATTAATAATAGATATTGTATGAAAAAAGATCAATAGTAAAAGTTAATAATGTCAGAAAAGAAAGGTGATTTTTGTGTAATAGAAAAATGAAAGCAGTTTAAAATGCTCCATTTTCTTTTAACTTTAAAGTGTTAATTTTAGCAGAAACAATTTTTTGAAAAAAGAATATTCAACTTCTTAAATTATAAAAGGCATTCAAAAATTTACACATATATTACTACTTTAAATCTTTCTAATAAAAATATGACTACTAATTGAAAGAACAAAGTGATTTTCCTATAACTACTCCTAGATTGCCGTAGGTGGTGGGTAGTTAGTCACTTTTTTGTAAACCCAAACTATATTGATAATATTTGTGTAAAAAACTCGAAGAAAGGATCAAACATGTTTGAATGGGATGCAATTAGCAAGAGAGAAGGATAAAGCCACTAGCCAAGAATTATTAGGAAGTTCTTTGATTACAAAGCGGTATGTAACACTCTATCCATAACAAATTATATAAAACTTCTATTCATTTAGTGAGATTTTCAGTAAAAATGAGTATATTGGGTGTATTAAAACTTCTTGGCTTCTTGCCTAGTTCTCTGTACAAGGATTAGTAAGTGTTTATTAAATTGGGTGTATTAATTTATTGTATATTGTATATTTGTATATGCATTTAGCTTGGAATCAGAAATTGGTTACAATTACACGGCTCCCAAATGGGCATCAGCAGAAGGGTTTGATTTCATCTAGGGATGGACTGGGCCGGGCCGAACCGGCCCGGAACCGGACCGGCCCGCTACTGTGCGGGCCTGGACCAGACCGGGCCCGGTTGGCCGGTTCCGGGCTTTTAGCCCGTGTTGGCGGGTCGGGCGGGCCGGTTCCGGGCCCTATTTTTGTTGAACCGGCCCGGGCGGTTCGGGCCGGGCCCGGTTCATTTTTTTTTTTTTGGTTTTTTCAATTTTTTTTCTTTTCCTAGGGTAGGGCTGGGTGTTTTAGGGAGGTTTGGGGCGTGGGGGTGAGGGGGGGGGGGGGGGTAGGGAGATAACAAGAAAGTAAAAAAAAAAAAAAAAAAAAAAAACATTGAACCGGGCCCGGCCCGGCCCGGCCCGGTTAGGCCCGGACCCGGTATCAACCCGGGCCGGTTCCGGGCCCATGTAACCCGAAAAAAAGCCCGCCCGGGCCCGGAACCGGAACCGGACCGGCCCGGGTCCATCCCTAATTTCATCTTGTGAATATAGTTAACAATCTCATATGCAAAGGCTCTATTTAAATTTGGTGTTGGTGGAAGGCGCAAATTATACCGTGGGATCGGCCCACCATGAGCATGGTGTGCCGATTTCAATACGCTGCCGTTCCATTAATTAAAAACAATCCAAATCATCTTTTCTTCTCCCCCAAGCTATCCTCTTGGATCGTCGTCTGCTATAGCATATACCCTTCTTCTCCTTTATCCCCTCCGCCTCTGCTGCAGGGATTGAAACACTGAAAATTCATGCGATTCCTACTTTCGAAGATGGAGATGGATAAGATTCTAGCGAATTGATATATATGTCGGTTAATTAACTTTGCTTCCACCGATTAACAAAAGTGACGTGCTTCTGTGTTTTTAATTTTTAGAAAGATCATGCTTTTCAAACTTTGAAGCTTCTTGACCATTGTTTGGGATTCACACTCTATTTTGAATTCTATGTGATATCTTATAACCACAATCACATTTGATAATACATGAAATTACATCTTTTTAGAAGCGAGTTATATCTTCTGAAGCGCGAGTTACATTTGTAATAACATGAGTTGCATAAAAAACAACCCCTGGTATTCAAACAAAAAAATGATTTTCTTTAAATCCTTTATGGTCATGATATTAAAAATCAAACATATTCACGGTTTTTACATAAAGTAATTGTGCAATTAAACTCTATTTTTCATTGTTTACATTAAAATCAATGTTTTATTAAACTTTTTCTCGATTTGTGCGTGTCATCCTTGCGCAATGTTTAAATCAATGTCATTCTTTAAATCAATGTTTATTAAAATCACATGTATAAAGTAATTGTGCAATTAAACTCTATTTTTCATTGTTTACTTTCTTTGATACTCGAGAATGTCACATGTATATTAAAGACAGTGGAATGATGTGGTTGATATTGAATTTGTAAAATATTAATTTGAATCACCCAAATGTTACCAAAAATAGAATGAGATATACTTTGTGGGACAAAAAAAATGAGACAAAATGGGCTTGTCATTAAAACATTAAGCAAGCTGATGCAAGAACTCCAATATTGTTCTTGACAGGATGTTATTTCCCATTACCTAATAGGCACATAATACTACTCAATATACAACTCAAAATATGAAGTTTTCCTTTATATTCGTTGTTGTCGCACATCGGATATCTCTTAAACAATTAAACGCTATATTATGATATATTGATATGTATTCTTCCTCATATCAGATTGACCTTTTAAAATGGAACTCCGGATCTTAACATGAAATCAAAGTCAGGTCCGATTGTGGTTTTATTACTTATTTAGCACACATACTTGTTGATGTCTATTACTTTTGATTGCTAGGATCGATGCTAGTAAAACATCTTATGCATAGTGATTATAGTATTATAGTGGTAACTTAGTCATAGTAATTTATGTTTAATTTTTACACTTAAATGACTATAATACACTACTATAATACTACCTTCGTCTCACAAGCATTGGAACAGAAGAGGTGACACAATATTAAGAGAAATAGATTTTGTGGTTTATACAGAATTGATAAAGAATAAAGTAAAAATGATTTAGAACCACACAAATTTACCAAATTTGATACAAGACAATCTTATTGGGACGGACCGAAAAGGAAAGATGAGACAATCTAATAGTCATATTTTTGTAAATAAATATTTTTCAGTAACATTTTAATAAAACTTGTAGCAAAATATTCTCTTCCAGCAATCATGTCATCATCCTTATTATTTATCACTGTAAATAATAGCATACAATTCACAATTATAATCATATACCAGTACATATTATTTTCATGCCTAAACCTACTTGTAATTTGTTCTTTAGGAGCACATGATTCATCATCAATAAAAAATGATCATTTTCGGAAACAATGATTATTTTAGTCATAGATATATACTAGTAATTATTTTTTAATTATAATCAATCAAATATTCAAGTAATGTCAAAGAGTCGTGCGACGTAGATATCTGGATGCATTAGCTTTTGACTTTTATACAAAGATTTGAAAACCCTGAATTTTTTTTATCAGTGACTTGCGAGTTGCGACCACAAGTGGAGTGAAAATGTAAAATGCAAGAAAGTTTATATGCTGGGCAAATAGCTCCAAATCGGGCAGAATTGACTGTAGAATTTTGAACAAAATTGCAACATTAATTTGAAGCATTGATTATTTCGAAAGAAAAAATTGTAGAAATCACCAATCCAGTTCATGTGATAGAAATCACCATATATATTACTACCTCATCTTCATTGTTTGCACCGCTAACATGATTCTTAACAGTTAACACTACCAAGGACTGAATTCACAATCATTATAAAAAATTGTCTCCACAACACAACCACAAAAAGATAATATCTCTTGAATTTATATAGCTGAAGCAACAGAGAAATAGCCCAATGTGGAGACAAAAGACAGAGAGCACTGCTAACTATGCTAACTAACAACAATTCTAAACACCATGTCGCAATTAATTCAACACAATTGAACACACCAACAAGCATGGAATGATGGAAGATAGTCTAAACCAACAAAACCCCCAATCAAACAAAATATCATATACGTAGTAGTATATTATCATTACTATGTGAGAATGTTATATCTCTTCCACACCCGTTATTTTTTTTACTTGATAGCGTCAAAACTCAAAACAGTGTAATACATTAAACATAACTTATTTCAATCCAGATCTCTTATTTACCTTTTAACCATTCTCCCTTGTTTGTCCTTGTTTTTATATCAATATGTATATTTTGTTAAAGGAGATCATTTTTTGGTATCATGTCTGTCCCAAACCAGGATAAAGGAGGAGGGTGTTGTGGTAGGTGCGTGACAGTCAACAGTATCACTTAGTCACCTCAAATGACATGAATCGAAATATGAATATCGTTACAGCTAGGTCATCGCCCGTAAGCGACACGTCATCCCTCCGCCTGGTGGTGGTGTCAAATATGCAAGAGCGCGCTACACTTCATAGGCGTGAGTGTGGTGATAAGAATGCTAAGACTGCTAGGTCGCCGCCCGGAAGCGACACACCACTCCAATACTCGGGGATGGTGTCAAATATGCAAGGCCATGGTGGGAGTCGATGTGGTGTGAAGAAGAAGAAGAAGAAGAAGTGGGGTGCTAGATTGCGTTTTGGGACATGGAATGTTGGCTCTCTTACGGGAAGATCATCTGAGATAGCTGAGGTTATGAAAAGGAGGAATGTCAGCATAATGTGCATGAAAGAAACTAAGTGGGTTGGAGAAAAGGCACGTGAGATTAATCCCCGAAGTTTTAAGTTGTGGTATTCGGGAAGAGAAAGGAACATAAATGGAGTAGGTATTATGGTGGCACGTGATTATGTTGAGGGTGTGATAGAAGTCTTTAGGAAGAATGACCACATCATGAGCATTAAGTTGATTATACGATATGAGATCGTGTCAGTGGTAAGTGCCTATGCACCACAAGTGGGATTGGATGCATCTATCACTCAACAATTCTGGGAGGATCTTGAGCAGGTGGTGCGACGAATGCCAAGGCGAGAGAAACTGGTCATAGGAGGCGACCTTAACGGGCATGTGGGTCCAAGTCGTGTTGGTTTTGAGAGTATCCATGGTTTTGGCACTAGAAATGAAGCGGGGAAGAATATTCTGGATTTTGCCTTGACATATGAGCTGGTTGTGATGAACACTTGGTTCAAGAAAAGAGACTCTCACCTTGTGGCCTATAGAAGTGGAGCTAATAGTACCCAAATTGACTACTTTTTAGTA